GGGGGGGGGGGGGGGGGGCGGGAAGAAGTGCTTAGGGCAGCGTGCGCTTGTCTTACACGCTAGTCCCAGTCCTGAGAAGCCGTGTAAAGTAGTTATTCTTGTATTGGTCATTTCCCAGTTGATTTTCCTTGCTAATTTTGGAAATGCGTTCCCCAGAAAGTTTTTTGACACAACACTTAGTAAAAATAAAAACCAAGAATTGTAATCTTTCCTTAAGGAGAATTTTGTGGCTTACTTCATATCATGTGTGTGCATTTAATTGTTCACGCAAGTCTTCTAAGAAGATAGTCAGTAATGTGCGTTATACATCCATCTCAGTTGTTTCGCATGTATTAAATGTTGCTGTTTGGATAAGTCATAATCTCCTGGAGGAGTCTTCTTGGATGGGAAGGACTTTTATCTTTGGAGCGGCCGCACAGCCTATATGGGGCAAGCTATGGAGGTGTGTTTCTTCAGAGAGAATTCCTTAACAGTGAAGGTGTTCCTCTTTTTTAAATGTGGAATCAGCTATCAAGTGGCATTGACTAATAGAAAATATTTTGTTCTAAGACAAGTCTTTTTCTCTGAGCCTTAGTTTTCTCATTTGTAAAATTTGGATAATACTAGGATTTTCTGGTGTACCTCACTGGATTGGTATCAAGATTGAAATTCCAAAGCCTGTTTGATAGCTCCACATTATGTATCTAAATGATATCTCATATTAATTGTGGCAAGACAGAACTTTTTATTCCTTCTCTCCACAAATCTATTTATTCCCTCAGTCATTGCCTTTTTTTATCTATGAACTACCATCAGTGACTTGCTGAATCAAAGGATACTAGTCATTTTGATTTCTCTTGTTTCCTCTTCCCACATTATCCTCATCAGTAAGTTTGGTCAGCTCTACTTCTAAAACATATATTGAGTCAGAATACTTCTTTCCATCTCTATTGCTATCGCTTAGCCCAAGCCACTATCATCATTCACCCGGATGACCACCACAGCTTCACACATTGTCTCCTTTTTACACTCTTGCCTCCCTTGGATCCAGTTGCCACACAATTGTCGGAGTAATCTTTTAAAAATATAAATTAGATCATGTCATTGCCCTGTATCAAATCTGTCTAATGATTGCTCACTGTTCTTGGCATAAAATTCAACCTCCTTACCAATGCCATTAAGATACTCCCTGATCTGGCCCTGCCTACCACTGTGATCTCCTTGCTCTAGATGTTCCCATCACACTGGGCTTCTAACCATGAAAATCCCAAACTTGTTCCCACCAGAAGGCCTTGATACTTCGTTCTCTCTATCTGGAATGTTTTTACCTCAGAACTTTGCATTCCTGGTTCCTTGTGATGTCACCTCCTCAGAGAGACTTTCAAGTTTTGCCATCCTCCACCTGCTCCCAGTCACCCTCTAGCCCTTTACTGTTTTATTTTCTTTACAGCACTCTACTATTTGAAATTATCTGATTCATTTATGTATTTACTTGTTTTTTGTCTCTTTCCTAGACTAGAAGGTAGGGACCTTGTCTGTTTCATTCATTGCTGTGTCTATGAGGTGATCAAATATTTAACAAAAGGTTAGGCCCAGGCATTCACCAGTTGAACTGGAAGCTGGCCACAGTGGAACCTTCCTGCCTTGCTGAATCATGGGGAAGTCCGGGGGGGAGGGTGACCCAGGGAGGAGATGAGGTGGCCACTGTGGAGGGGATTGGGGTGCTGTGGGCAGCAGCTGTTGATGACAAAATATGAAAGAAAGAAGGAAGGTAACTTCTTTTAGGTAACTTAAGAGGGAAACTCTGAAAACGATCAAATTGGACATAAAGTGTAAAGTGGTGTCTTCCTCATCGCCCCAGGATATTTGTGGTAATGATGAGCCCACTGTGGTGTTTGAGATGCAGAATCAAAGCAGAGATCATAGACCAAGGGCAGTACTGGTAGACAAAGTCACATCATGACCTTGTGTTTTTTTTTTGATAAACTTTTTTTTCCAATTTTTTTTACTGTGGTAAAATATACATAAAATAAAATTTACTGTCCACCATTTTTTCTTTCTTTTTTACTATTTTTTCTACTGAGGTATAATTGACTTAACATTATATTAGTTTCAGATGTACAACATAGTGATTCAATATTTGCATATATTACAAAATGATCACTAAGTCCACTTAACATCTGTCACCATACGTAGTTTCAAAAAAAATATTTTTTCTTGTGATGAGTCTTAACCATTTATAAGTGTGTAGTTCAGTGGTATTAGGTACATCCATCTTGTTGTGCAACTATCATACCTTGCTTTTGAGTGTGACATTTTGCGGCAGACATTGTGTACCTGCAGAGTCAGGGCTTTGCTTGTGGCTTCTCTGTTAGATCATGCCTTTAAGTATGTCAGAGAAGCTTTTGTGTTTCTATTTCCTTATCTCTAAGTGGAGGAGAGGCTTTTTATGTTTTATCTGGGAGAGCTGTTTGAGTATCAAAAATACTCCTGTAGAACACAGAACATCATAAAATATAGAACATCGTGTTCAGTAAGAAATCCACAAACCCCTCTCTGTGGGTGATCCTAAAGCCAGGGTTGCTGGGATGATGTGGCCACTGGAGATCACAGTGCCCCTTAACAGATGACAGACACCCGTTTCAGGGAAGTCCCTGCTCACGAAGCATCTCTTTATTCCTGAGCTGTGATGGTGTGCTCCCTGAGGTGGACGGCTCAGAGTTTAAGATGATCAACTTTGCTGGAAAGGTATTTCCCTTTCAGCACAATACTCAGTGCAATGTTAGAGTTAGGAAATAGAATGCTTGGACCATCAGAACAACCAAAATACTCTCATATGAATTTGAAGAAGATGACTTTAAAAAATAAGCATGAATTAATTAAGTTCTTGCCGTGTGATTAAAGACCAAATCTTCACTAGTTACTGTATCGTTTTGAGTTCACAGAACTTATGATAAAGAGGTCACGGAGAATTTGGATCGGGCCATGATGACTGAAGGATTGGAAAATAATATGTATGAGGAGAAATTAAAATAAGTGTGATGGTTTAACTTAGAAAATTAAATTCAGAGTTAAAGAATTAAGAATTTTTTTCAGATGTGTGGAGGATGCTTCCAC